ATGGTGTGAGGTAAATTGGTCAGCTAATTTCATTTTGTCTTAGTTTCTTTGCTGGGCCATGCCAGAAGCCCTGCTAGCTTTTAAGGAATTTGTTATCCCATATTATTTCACTTTTTAAACATTTACACTATCTTAACGGCTGTACATCTTGACTAGAATTAAGCAGTGGTTTAACCCCCATCTAAAATAGAAATTGCCTCATCTTTAAGGTAATTTTTTAGTGGAGGAAAAGTACCAGGGAAATAGCTATTCCATGAGCAAAACAAGTATATTTGCCAATATGCTACTGTACCAATGACTAAGATGCTGCAGATCTCTTGTGCTGAAGTACTTTTATAGCTCTTAATAAATCAGACTTTTTTAAAGCAATGGTCAGGGACTAATTAAAAATGATCGAGGAGAAACTGTACCAGGTCATTAGCTGAACTTGCAGCAATATAGTAATATTCAAGTMATTTCTGATTTAGAATTCTGATTAAATTTTTGGCACTGCAAACATGTTTCTCATGCTGCAATAATACATCCACTTACTGCAACCTGCTAGCGCTGTCTTCTGTATTTATTGGCCAAAGCTTATGCAATGATCATTAAAGACTAATGTTTAATTTTGTGCTTACTCTGGGTACCCTTTCTTTTTTTTTTTTTTTTGTGAGAAATTTGTAGTAATGAAAGTCCTTTCGTAGTCCGAGAAAGTAATTTTCCTTTCACTTCCCAGTAAAAAAATCCGTGAGCTATCCTCCAAGAATCCTGAATCCTCCAAGAATTCAGGAAGTATTGACAAAGAGTAACCCAACACAATGGTATCCAAGCTAAACTCCACAGTAAATCTAGAGCAGTCATGCTCATCTGGGAAGATATGTCTTCTCTCTTGTGTATTTGAAGAGGAAGAGGCTTGTGCTTTGGAGCTGGCTTGTTTGAAGGCAAACATAGTTAGGATAAGGTGCTGAGGAGCTTYGGGCTATCCCTTTGGGAAACTGGAGCTGCGAATTTCTCCTTTTTAAAAAATTTCTCCTTGCTCTCTATTGTTCCCTTTTTCTTTTGAACACAAGATGGGGATAGGTGAAGAAGAAGAAGGAGCTGCCTGTGACTGGTAAAGGATGAAGGGTGAAGGGCTACGCCATCCTACTGCCCCTTACTGGGACAGGAAAGTACTTAATGTACCCATGATGATCTGAGGTATCTTAAGGGGACAGTGCCAAAAAGGAAGGAAAAGTAATTTGCAAATCACAGATCTGGTGGACAATGACTGTATTGGACATTCATTGGAAAGTTACGAGCATGTTCAATACACTGTGGACTGCATTATTATTCTTAATGAATAATAATAATAAAAAAGGATGAATGTCCTTTTTATTATTTATCCTAAATCTAGACTTTTGCTCCTACCAAAAATTATCCCCTTTTATTACACAGCTTGTTTTAGCTGAAAAGTAACTCAAACTCAGCTCAGCTACTGAGTCACTGACCTTTTTTCTAGGCTGGGAAAAGTTGGACTGATGCCTGGGAACTCTGGTGTGCCCTTGTTCTCAGATTTATTCTTTGTTTTTTTTCAACCTTGCCTTATTCATTGGCACTTTTCTGTTTCTAATCATTTTTGTCAGGCTGAGAATATTGTTTATTCATTTTCTGTAGTGTTTGCCGTATTTTCCTGCAATGTACACATGATGTATAGTTAATATTACTGACTGGGTTATGCTATATCCTGGTAGGCATCCTCCTGCAGTTCTGTGTGACATTATCCGACATTATGATTTGGCCTATTATAGATAAAAAATGACCAGGAGTTTGGGTAATTATATCTGTGTTTGTGTTTTTGACTGGTTTGAAAGAACTTTGAAAAGAGTTGAGAGACACTTGGTCTTAACTCCCTGCTGGTTCAGTCCAGTCTAACTCCCATCATATCAAGTGGAATTCCCGTTATTCCAAAACTGAAATGATTCACTTTTGATTGAATCCTGAATTGTGACAGGGAGATATTTAACCCTACCAGCTGTCATTCTCACTTGCTACACTTTCAGTTGCTTTTGAAATTCTTTCCATTATCTCCTTCCAGGTTGTATTGCTGAGTTATGCTGCATCACTGATCTACCTGTCTTGATTCAGGGAGTCTAATCTGGGACGGTCTGAAATTAATATTGACCCCACACAGCACTTTTACCTAGCATGAATTTGTACAGCGCAGTTCCCTTGAAAATTTTCAGCTCTTTGGTGGATCTCTTTCTCCTTTCTAAGGAATCATATTTTTCCTAGTAAAATGATTAGAAAACAACAGTGATTTGTACTTGAGTTTTCTGTATTTTAGAAAAGAATGAATGTATGGCTCATGCATTACCTTTACTGATCCATCTGATGGCCTATGAATTATAATAATTATAATTATAATCTTATGGAGAGATGTCAACAGAGTGGACATTTAGCTTTCTTACCTAAGGCATATGTGACAGTTCTTGCATTGAACAAGCATGCAGATAAAAGGTTTCCATTATTTAGAATATTTCTACAAAATAATGATAGGCAGGGTTGTACATATTACACAAAAATAAGGATTGAATTATACCAAGATAGGCAATTGATTTGAGACTTCTTTTCTAACTCAATGATTTGGTGGCATTTTAAAGGAATATCAGAAATATCTATTCTATTACCTTGCCTTAAAAGGTTCCTTTTGTAGGAGACGAGAGATGGTGTCACTGTAAAAGTGAAACACTTGCTCAGCCAGGCATCAGGGTAATGCAGGTTACAGTAGTAACTGTACAGTAGTATTCGGCAAACCTTTGGATCAGATATGCTTCCAATACTTTCAGTATCTTTTTCTTATCTACTTTCATTTCTGATTAATATATATGTAATGCCTACCTTTGCTATTATCTTTTAGAAAGAGTCTGCTTTCATTATTATTATTTTTGGAAATAATTAGTTTGGGGCTAAAGAAGTGGAGGGGAAAAATCCCCAAAACGAAGGAGTGTTTTTCTCCAGCCAGATGCATCAACTTGATGATATTAACAGAAGCAAGAAGCATTACAGATTACTTCATCAATTTCATCTAATGATTATGTAGGTTCTCATGTGAGCTGACACACTTAGTTAACAACCTGACAGCAGAAAAGGAGCACAGGAAAGAACAGCTAGGTATCCAAACATCTATGCCAGTTTGCTTAAGCAGCTAACCACTCCAATAAATGTAAGTGCAGTGAATAACAAAACTGCTAGCGTATAATTTCCCATTGATATTTTTTTTCTCTAGGCTTGTAAAGTTTCTGCATATAGATATATATACACTGTCATTGTCTGGTTTRAAGTATTAAAAAGATGTATCACAACATGGACAAAGACAAGGATCCTGTTTTTACTTGACTTTTGTGAAAAATCCCAGATATAGCAAAGCCACGACTGTAGTTTTGGAAGCCGCCCATGTTCAGACATGCTCCCGAAGGCTGTGCATAACAGCCTAGAGCCAGCTAACCTACTGTAGTAAAATGTGATTCATTTTCTCTTATCACTGACATTGTGTTGCTGCTGAACATAAGGAAATAATTAAGAAGGAAAATGTCTTTCATCTTCAGAGGAATTGGGATTTTGGCCATAACAGGCTAAATGTGGATTATAGTTTGATAAAAGTTCTGCTAAGATATGGATTTTCAATATGCTCTGTTCTCYATGTCAGCAAAAACAGGTCATTGCCATTTTCTGTGACATTCGTAACTAATTTAATGGGATTTCTGATAYAATATGCTATTTAAGCAACATTCATTTTGTAATTGAAGTCTCAGTTCCATTGGTGACTGTAGCAATCTTCTTATTTCCAGAATGAGCTTTTGGACTTATTACTGTGTTGCAAAGTCATTTCCTCTTATAAATATGCATTTCATAAAGCAGTGATTGGGGATTATTAAAAACTCAAATAAAATAATCAAAAAAGAAATGCATTTGCCATAATTGCTTTGCCCATGATTAYATTTTTTTTTCCACAAAAAGGATATATGTATTTCTGAAACCTTTTTCCTTGTGATTTATCACACAAAATGTTTCAAGTAAAAGACAAAGCAACCAAACTTTTCAACAGAACATCAGAGAGGTGTGCTGTGCCTTTGTGCTTGAACGGCCATGGGGTCTCAGTGACACCTGAAAGAACATTACAAATGTCAGAGTGATCCCAGAAACCACTTAATKCTGAAGTATTTAATGGACTACTTGTGGTGGCTTCCTTACATAGTACATTTGTTTGCAATTTAAAAAAATGCAAAAAGTTTTATCTCAGAAGGTAATTTATGTTGTAGACTTATGTTTATTAAGCTCTTATATTAATATTTCAAGCCTTCTTGTGTCTTTCAATTATTTAACTATAAAAGGCATATCAAACCAGAGAAAACAACATTATGAAATTAGAAATTTGAAAGATGCCAAACATTATGTGATTTTAATGGCTCCATTGCCCAGATTCGCTATTGTAGATTCATCATTTTCTTCCTGAAAGTCCTGAAAGATTGTTTTTGTTGGAATCCAAAATGTTCATGTCACTCTATCCTCTATGAATATAACTCAGAAGCTGACAGGAGATAAGGTAAAAGTCAATAAAAAGAGAATTATTTATTAAAAAGATCTAATGTTACAAGAACAGTACACAGGAACTATTATATTACTGTGTCTTACACGTAGTATATACCATTATATATAGTATATATACAGATTGTATACAATATATCTAACATTTTGATATGGGCCATGACAGTATCTTTCTTTTGGTTTTCAAACAAACTTTCCTTCTAACTATTTTTTCCCAAGCAAATCTTGTGACATATACAAAAATACAGCCTCCTCAGTGATGCTAGACTGCACTATTACATTGTTTTACATGAAAAGAAAAAGAAGAGCTCTCCAATGCAGCTAAAAAAAATGTAAAATGTCATGATAAGGAAACATCTTCTACAAAGTAACAAATATGTAATACATAGGTACTTAAACATTTAAAACATGTTTATTAATATATTTAAGATGCAAAATACATATTCTGTTCATGTTGAATATAAAACATACCCCTTTTTGTCCCTGCAATACAACTACATTATCTGATGGTATGTTCAGGATTTTTATTTTTATGTATATCTTGATACTACAGGTTGCATTATAACAGGATGCAGCTCTATCTCTTTATCAGAGTTTTATTAATCTTACAAAGTAAAACTGCTTTTAATATTCACAAAGCTGTTTAACCAGAGTTTACAGAGTTTACAAGAGCTGTGATTGTAACCTTTCTGAATACTCTGAAGTGAACTGCATTGGCAAGCAACTGTATAAAAAATAGAAAGAATTATGCTTAGCTGATTTATAAAATAGCCATTTTGCTTTTTGGTTCATTATTTTTGTTGACTTTAATCTTCTGAAAAATAATGGTCTGCAATGCAAGTTCTCTGCACAATGGAAATGTTGCTGTTTTGCACACCACAGCATGTAGCTATTTCTGAGTTTGCTTTACCAACAAGGTTCATTTCACCTCCCTTCCTCTGATCAAACTGCTATTCTGGAAGCAGAAATACAGRAGGTCTTCTGTCTGTAGCTACACAAAAGTCTCTGCTCAGCTAGCCATCTTGCCTTTGATTTCTTAAAATATGACGACTTATTACATTTAAAACAGCTTTTCTGGATTTGATTCAATACTATTAGTGTGTAATAAGGAGCAGAATAATCTCTGAAAAATTCCATACTGGCACAATACTCAAAAGACAAAAATAATTTAATCATCAGTCAACTTTATCTACCAAGCACAGTCATCAGTCAACTTTATCTACCAAGCACATGATCTGCATCATACTTTCTTGGCTATTAATTTAAAGGTGCTAAGAAAGGGCACAGGTGGAATGTACTGTGAAGCTAACAAAATAATAACATTTTTTTCACAGAACCCATGAACTGAAACAGATCTGCATCAAATCTATTAGAGGGATGGACAGCTAGAAAACTAGGCTATTAGGACATGCCCGTTGAACTGTATTAGCATCACACACTTGATTTTTCCCAAACAAGGGAATGTTCACCCTAGGCACAATCCCTAGATGGATGGTAGTTAAATACCCTCCTCCCTCACGACACCACACACATCATACTGCACAAACACGCACACCATTTACACTGGGGATCATTCCAATTTAAATGTAGAAAAGTTGTCCAAATTGTTTATTGAGTGGAAAAAGTTTGGGTACTGCAGAGAAGAATGGGGATTAAAGAAGATAGCTCACAGTCCCTGCAAGAATAATCTCTACTCAGTGAATTAGAAACAGGACCAGTTAACTAAATAACTGGAGTGATGCTCAGTAGTACTTATCCAAGTGTTTTTTGGAGACATCATTCTCTAAACATATCCTACTGGAGTCTTTATGTGTGAATGGCTACATTCCTTTAAAAACTGATGTTCTCTTTGTAATATGGTTTCACACATACTTTAGCTTAATTACCAAATATGGAAAGTACTAAAAAGTGAACCAAGAGGGCAAAAAAAAAAAAAGGTTATGACTGAAAAGAAGTCGGAAAAAGTAAGTTTGTTTGCTTGCATTATTTTATTTGTCCACATAGCAGCTTGAATATATGCCTAAATGCCCAGTGGACATTTGATTATGAATATACTTTGTACTTGCTGTTCAGAATAAATATTTGATTCCTCTTACATTAACTCACAGGGTATTTGATGAAAAACAAGAGCACTTGTTTCCATTTAGGTTTGTGTTTAATCATTTTGAGGCTATCTTGCAATAAAACAAATGGCTTCTTTTCTGCTCATTTCTGCTCATTTTCTCACTTTTTGACTATGCTGCCTAATATGGTATTGACAATCTTTTGCTAATTTAATATGTATTGATACTTTTTTAAAACAAATTCTCTGTACTTTTGCAGTGGGCTATATATCTGTAGTATATTTTTCTTTCCTATTCTCTTTTTGATGTAACAAAAGCAATAGACAAAGCTAGATTAAACTTTTTTCTCTTTTTTTTCAAGATTTTTTTCCCAAAACAAACAGATGTACAGTAATAGACACCATTGTTTAAACACCCAATGATACATGACAGGCGTCACCAAATTAAATGTATTAAAAAAGTAAAGTACATTTGACAGAAATTATGTTTGCTTACAAAAGTTTATTACATACAATCTGCATATTTTGGGGCCAGAAAGTGTCCCCTCCTCAGAGGACTTTAAAAAAATAACTGAAGAAAAGAAAAACCTGATGAACTATTGGCCATGTCCCCAGCACTTCTCCAAATGCCCCACAGGTATTTCTATGGGTCTTTGAGCATTAGCTTGGGTTGCCAGTTTTTCCACAGACATAAAACTCCATCCCTGGGTGTCATCAAGCTAAAGCAAACAAACAACAATAACAAGATTTGCAGTCTTCACCAGGAGGCTGAAGGAACCATCAGTGCCAAAAGCAATGTTATAGAGGATGAGGAAGTAGAGAAAGAATGTAAAGTGGATTGAGCACTCGTTACTTTTCCTCCTGAAAATAAAAAGCAAAGAAATTAAAGAGCAAACAATGCAAACAATTCTTAGTACATTCAGTTAACAACAGTTTTTGTTCTATAATGTTTAGCAAAAAGCTACTTTTTAGGCATAGCATTATCTTGTGAGACCTGTWATACCAAATTAGGTTCCCTACACAGGGATGAGGAAGTTATGGATTTTATGATGACAGCTACAAAAACCTCAAATGCTCTGTCAGGTTATAGATAAATATCAGTCTATAACTGTATACAAATGAATAGGAAATTCCAGTAGGCATGTGAGTTTTATGTTTTAAGTGTCAAAGAGTTAGGCTGCAGAAAGCATCCTGAGTTAAGATCAAGAATTTTCTTCCTGGAACAAGGCATGAAAAGTAGCCCTTGATCATGAATTTTGTCCAGAGGAGAAAATATTTTTTCCTTCTAACTCAGTCATTTGGTTGAGCCAAGGCACAGTTCCTGGGAACAAACAAACAAACAAACAAACAAAAAACCCCACCCATGCTACTGCAACTAAAAGAAATGTACTATGGCTGGGAGTGATAACATATCAGGGAAGAGAGCTGGATGGGACTGTATTTCTTTGTCATTTTTGAACATCTTGTGTTGTTATACCACAGTCATGTTCATAGCCTAATCAAAAATACATCAGGTAAAAGGAAAAAAAAAAAGATTTTGTGACTTAGAATTGGTTAGGGTCTAGGCCTGTTGTGTAGCATTCCTTACAGACTGAAAAACAATGTTTAGTGGAATTTTAAAGTAAGTCATAGTGCTTAGCAGAAATTTAGAAATCAGATACCTCACTTAGGTAGGCAAAAGACAATGAGACCTGACTATGGCATGTAAGAAAGGATACCTAAAATATTTGGTGGTTGTTCTTCCCATTAATTCTTCCTTTCCTATCTGTTAAGATATTAACCTTGAATTCACTCAACAGATTGTAGTTAACTAGTAAGTATGAAATACTTCAGGATAGCACTTGAATACTGTAATAATACATTATAAACTGTGACAAAACAAGTGAACATGATCCTATTTTAATTAATTCCATCTGTGATGCAATCAGTATCTGAGCTATCACAGACGCCTGCCATGTGTGTATAGGTCCAAGAYCTATAGTATGTCTGTGGACAGTAACTGGAGATAGCTCGGATATAACAGGACACTCATGGCACTGAAAGCCTTTATTTAGGCAACTGAATTGAGTCCCTAAATTAAAGTTTTTATGTGTTTTTTCCCTTGTGTGAACATAGGATATGTCAAAGTATATGTCAAAGTCCTGTAAACAAGGAATATCTGCTTTAGTTAATCAATAGAACCTGTACAGGTACTCATCTTATTCTACTGTTCCATTCCCTATTCTACTGTTGGCATATATAACAGGATTCAGAACTAAATGCATACATGCAGTGTTATTTTAGCTGTGTTAGATGTTATACCTCCTGATGATGGTCCAGAATTATATGGGTCTCCAGGATGTAACTCCTACATCATGACTGTCACTTCTGCTCAAACATTTTGAATATCTTAGGGCATTTCAGATGCCCCTAGGTATATGTGTCTAAATATTTGAATTCTATCCCCTGGATGGACAGCTGCAGTGCTGTCTAGGCTGCACTGTCTGTATAGATTACATTTCAGCTATCTATAGTGGTATGTGAGACACCAAGTTTATATGTAGACAATTACAGTGAAATTATGTTGAATAGGCATGGACATCTAACAGAAAGTAGGATACCCTGGAGTATCCCTTCAGGCTTCCAGATGATACCCTAGACACGCACAGGTCTTTTATTAATGCTGTCTTGTTTATCAGCCCCCATGGATGTCTCTCCTACTCTTGAGCATCTCAAATGGCACTAGGTATCTATATTTTCAATGACCATAATTAGGGGCTGAAAATGCTGTAAAATGTCAGGTTATCGTTGGGGTAATAATATCTTAAATGTGAGGAAAAAGTTATTTAACATATATATTATGAACTAAATTTGTTTCTTTTTCCTCCTCCGGAGGAAGAGTAATAATACATGAATATGGAAAATGAAATCATGAACCTGATTTTGTAGAAAGTCAATGTAGACAGCTGGGGGTAGAGCCTCTGTACTTCTGATGTCTTATAGTGCTGATAAGACATGCTTACTGTGCTTGCTGTGATATCAGCACCTCTGTTTTACTTTTGTTTAAGAGTATTTCAATACAGTTTTCTATATTCTGCTTTACTTTTGTCATTCTTTGTTTGTCTCATTACCAATATGAAATATTTCCAGAATATGTTATGGCTAAAGGCTTTGTGCATTGTAATCATATCAGCAGTGACTGAGAAACCCATAGATTTGTATGCCTGTGACATCAAATTTAAGTTCTCCATGAGACTAGCCCTTGAGAGTACTATGATTTAGCAAATATGTATCCATTATCCTGTTGTGAGATCATTTTCTTCTATAAAACATTAGCATAACAAAAGATTCTGATTAATGATTTTAGCAAATAGCTACACAGTTGTGAGAACATTTCTCTTTCCAAGTGCAATGTAAAGGTGTTAATTCTTCATTAGCATGGCTATAATTACCATTCTCCCAAATATACAGGGAACCTTACCTGAAAAAGATGGAACTCTGATTTGAGGACTAGCAGTCCCGTCTCCTCCTTCGCTGACTGCACACACCTCAATAATATAGACACCAACATCAGGAAGGAGTACCACAGCAGAAGTTTTTTGTGTTTCTATAACTTGGCTGTTGCTCTGGCCTTCTTGCCTAAATAACACCTGTGGTCAGTAAAGGAGATTAAAAATCATTCAAGCATTATACCAGAATTTTTGTGTAGGTAACACAGCCATTGAAAGAGTAACTGTTTCAGGCTTTCACTTTCAATGGCTGTGAAGTTCAATTTCAAGTTATGTGCTTTTATTTCCCCCCACCCTGAAAAAAAAATCAATATATTAGCAGCAAAGTATATTAACAACTAATGGATATAAAAAAAGAGCAAAAGATGCAGGATTTGCCCTCTCCAGGTGTAGGTATGGCTTTTCAAGCAACAAACTTTCTTCATAAATGTCTCTGGGTTTTAAATTGATGTCCTCAAATTCATGAGGATATTCATTMTTTTGGTTCAAGAATCCAGCTTCAAAAGTAAAGAAAATGCCTTAAATAAAATCATTACTGGCTTTACCTTAGCCAACTAAGTCACTTGAGAGTAGTTCAGATCTACCTCTGTACCTGCTGTGAAACTCAGAAATTGCTTATTCCAAGTAGGAGGAATGGAATAGCATTCATTGCTGTCTTTTTGGTGCTTCTGCAGAAGACTCTTTGTTCCCAGACAAAACTGAAAAGGTCAGAGCGTTGTAAAAATTTAAAGTAGTCAACTGAACTTTTTCTGAATCTCAACTATTTTGATAAAGGTTAAAGCCGTTTCTGGTTTACCTGAATCAACTTCTACTTTTTATTTTATCAACTTCTATACTTTCTTGGTAATGCTCCTTTTTGTATCAGGGGGAATAACAGAATGTAGTCTGTAGGAAAAATTACATCTACGCTTTAACATAAAAAGGTCAATATTCATTAAGATAATGGAAATCAGTCTATTTTGATATAAAGGACTGCAGTAAATTCTCTTTCTTTTTATGACGTGTTATTTAGGAGTTTATCTGGATTTTACTCTTTAAAACTTCAAAACTTTAAATGCCAGATGTTACAGGCACTTAATATCACCAGCATAATCACAAAACAAACCTAAGTATTTGTTTTTCTGCTCCATAAAAATATTAATTTTAGTGGCATTTAAGAYGACACATTCTTCTGCATTTCTCTAAATCCTACTGCAAACACAGTTAAATTGAAGTGTTAGTAGGAATTTCACTGTCTTATGAAAAGCTACTCYAGATCAGACGTAAAGTGATCCCCTTGGAGTAACTCAGTTTATGATTAGTAGTTGATATCACAACAGAGAAATTAGTGAGACATTTTGCTCTTTTCAGTTGTTTTTCTTACTTTTTATTGTTTTTTTTTCCTGATAGAAGAAAATCTGCATAACATACTTTAGTTAGCCGGAAAAAAAGGCAAGAAACAAAAAACAAAAAACAAACAAAAAAACCAACAACAACAACAAAAAAAGCAAACAAGAAAGAAGTATAACTGCTTGGAAGGGAGGAAGGCGAGCAAGGAAGGGGAAGCACTGACCTTGTATCCCATTACATCAGATTCATTAGCTAGAGGTCTGACTGGCTCCCATCCAAGAGACACATGAGACCCATCTTGTATCCACATAATGTTGCCTGGTGCTTGGCTGGGAGCTGAAGAATAAAGAAATACCAACACATATATAAATAAAACTTATTGATTGCCTTTTAAAAATAGAAACAAAAATATTTCAATCTTTATTACATTTACAGCTGGTTACTTTAGGAAACTCCCTTATCTACCTGGAGTTTCTTAAGGTATTTTTTTGCACCAGACTTGTCATTTTAATAGATACTATAGGAGCTTATGAATTTATATTTTTTTTATCATCTCTTTTCTCTGTCAAAAATCCTCAGCTTTGTTTTCTAGGAAGTTAACTTTTGTAATGAACATAAAGTCAAATCTATACCTGAAACCAGATTATTTTACACTTGCATTAAAGGGAAATCCAAGAGGGCAGACGTTGCTCCCTAGCTTCTCGCTTTGAGCAAAAGCACTGAGGTCACTTACGAGACTTCTTGGTTGCTGCATGCACTGCACTGCTCGGTGGTCCATATCCTGCAGCATTGTACGCCCTCACAGTTAGGTGATATAATGTGTTTCCTTCCAGTCCTGTCAGGAGGATGGATGATTCATTTCCCTCAGTTTTGACTTTTTCTGCTGCTTCTTCCTGCTCCATGTCCTTCCAGTAACCAACCTGCCAACAAGTGGGTACATGAAGGATTAATGCAGGAATTTGGGTATTTAGGTAACTTATGCTTTACTTTTTACTTTTTATCTTTTGTTGTTGTTGTTTTCAATTTTTTTTTCCTCTAACAGTCCTTCTTGTTGTCTGGCAACTACGTGCTTCTAAACAGGTGGGAGCTGTAATCTAACCTCAGAGTCAACAATACTCACTCTCCTAAAAGGTGAGATTCAGATTATTTCTGAACTACCTAAAGTATGTTGAAATACTTCTGTATTGTCATGGAACGTTGTGACTAGCAAGACCGAACAGAGGATGAACACTGACAGAAAGTCAAAAGCATTTCAGAGAATATCCAAGGAGAGCTCAGCCTCTTGCAGGTCATCAGAAACATCTGCCCTTCATCCTGAAAGACTGACTGAATCATTTAAGAAATGGTGTGAGCAATATTCCCTTCCTGTGCCCTTATGTAAGACAGAGGAACAGGATTTCTTATCAGTGTAATGAATAGGAAATGACAAAACACCTAAAGAAATTTAGAAATAGACAGAACTAATCTTATCCAAGGGGAAAAAAAAATAAGGAAGTAAATTCAGTTTTATTTACTCAGATACAAATAAGATCGCTCAAATCTAATTTTGACAACATGCTTTGGCCCTTCCTTTTCTAAGCCTAAATGACCTTTGGTGGATCTTAGGCCATGGTTTCTGGAATCTACACTGAGTTTATCATAATCCCAAGAAGTGAGCTAGCTTCTTTTCTCCTGGTCCCTCAGGGACTAGGTGTTTTCAGGATGTGATTGAAAAAACAGTACAGCCTCCTGCTAATGTATTTAGGTCACCTATACAAGTCAGGAAATTCTCACTGGGCACATTTTTTCCTTAACAGGAATTGTCACTAATGTGTCATTTGAAGACCTGCATTTAGCTTACCAGTATTCATGTTGAGACGTACTTGCACTTATCCCATATTTTGACCTTTTCTGTGAAGCTGGTTATTTCATAACAAGTTATTCATATTATATATGGATAACTTATCCTCTGAGAGAAAGGTCATGGGCAATGCAGCACTCCTGAGAATGCATCCCAGAAAACGGTGAACCAAAAAACCCAACTGATTCGTTGGAAAATAAGACCAGAGAGTACAGTGCAGACCTTTTACCATTGCACCAGGATTGTCACTTTAAACAAAATAATCTAAAAAGACTTGACTGCAACAGTAAAAATTTGATGCCATATTTATATTTGAGTAAATTTGCTTTCTTAATTTTGATGGAAAGCATATCAATCTGTGCAAAAAACATTTTAAAATTAGAAAATTATGCTGCAAGTCTACCTCTTTAATTGTAAAATTAATGTACATATGGCTTTTTTTGTGCCTTTTAATTATCTCATGTCAAATTCTGCTTTTTAGAATTACCAGCTCATGTAGCAACTCTAGCTGCACTAATAGGTATGGTTTGCTGAAGTATTTTGCTTGATCTGTACTGTTTTTCTCTTTAGTATTTACACCTTTCTTGCAATGGTTAAAAGAATCAGCAACCATTTTTTCACACAGTAGGACTGAGCCTTATTGTCTGCTGGTCAGTCAGATTCCTTCGTTTTTCTTGTAATACAACCATACAGCCTTGAAACCATATTGATAAGAGCCATGGAATATTAGCACTGCATGAATGGCTAGTGAGTGCATGTCCTGGAGACTCTGCAGTCTAATTATTCAAAAGTGATGAAGATCTGACACAGAAATAGTAGAAAAGGAAGAGTGACTTGTCTAAAGTTACACAAGGTGACAGTACTAGGGGTAGAAATGCAACTGAAGTTGTGAAAAAGTGGATATGGGAAAGCCAGAAGGTAAACTATAGGGAGCTCCACAACCTCAAAAGCTCCAGCTTTTTCACTTTTTTATTTTAATATAAATAAAAAGTGAAAATATGATTTCCTACAACATTCCTGAATTGTTGATATTAGAAATACATAGATAGTAAAACCCATGACCATGGCAGAAAAGTTAGAAGTATAACACAGCCCTTTTGATTTTTTTCATTTGTTTAGAAATACTCTCCAGTACTGCTTAAGTGGCATCATCAATGCAAAGACTAATTATATTTTGCATATATTACCTCTTCAAAAATAACCATGGCATGTTCCCTAGCATTGTTGCTGCACCACTCAACACAGACATTCTCTGTGGCAAAGGGGTATTCCTAGGGGATTGAATATACTGTATTAAGCAGCAAAGGCATGAAATACAATTTGGCATTGATTCTATTCCAGCTTCCCCAGTACTTCAAAGCCTTAAATGTTTGGTCCCTTCTTTTAAAATTCCCCTTAAATTTTTTGCCAGGTAAGTTTGGACTTTGATCTCAAAATAGGCTTTTCACTCAGGCTCTTCATGCACAAGCACATCCGTTGATAGCAAAATGAACTAGAAGAAAACGGGGTTATGAAAAGAAAAAAAGAAGTTAAAGGCTTATTGACTAATAATCATTAGTGTTGGGGGAGCTTCTTACTTCAATTTGAACAGATGATGACATTGCTGATATTTTAAAAGTGCTGGATATGTTTCCTACCACAGGGAGTTTAAATATCTAGACTCATAGGTGCATTTTTATTTAATCTTATCTTCTGTAGCCTTAATTTGCACTACTCAGAATAGATTTACCCCATTTACCTTTTTTTTTTTTTTTTTGTTAATTATACATTTGTTCTGAAAAGAAAGTAATGACAACTGACTAGAGGAGATACAGGAACATTTACTTGTAGCTTTTTGCTTGGTTTTGATCTTGAAGTAAGGATTTCTTCAAAGCAGACCATCATGTCAAAAAAATGCTTCTACCTCGAATTTTTGTACCTCATAAAGTTATAGACCACTTTAATCTTAGGATTAAAGGATTCTTGAATAGTATTAGATCTCTTTCTTTCCCAAATGGTTTCTAGTATGTGCATAATAGCCCTTTGGCATAAACTGGTCCGATCTAATTGCAGGTTCTTCCCTCTAAACTCACTGGATCTTTAGTTGACCATAGAGAATTGAAGCTCTGAATTAGGCATACTAGGTAAGTGCCTAAACTAGATAAGATGAATCTAAGTGTTTCTTGGATTAAAACACACAAACCTTCCAGGGCTCTCTGATGGAGAATTTACCAGCTTCAACAGTATTGACGTAACTGAAAATGAACAGAAAGAATGATTCTGATCAAGAATCATTCTTGTGAAACATTAAGAAATAATTCTTCTGAAGAATGATTTCTGACTACAGAAAGTGCTGTGGGAGAAAAAAAAATATGGTGAGCTGAAAAATTAAAAATACTCCAGAAAACTTGTTTAAATTATCATTCTCAGAAAACCTGTATTCATCCTGAGTCTGGAACTTGTGGGTTTCATTTTATTTATTTAAAAAAAAAAAAGGGAAAAGAAAAGGTATTATCATTTAATCACATGATTCCAGGTGACAACACCAGACATTGCATGTTTTGCACAGTCTTTGATTCAGTAGGTAGTAATGCTTCCTGGTGGACTTGAGTAGGCAGATSAGCTGTGGTTCTGCTCTTTCCCACAGCTGGTTGCATAGTCCTGTCTCCTCCTTTGCAGTGATACTAGCATTCTTGTGAATGTGAACTGGCCAGAAATGAGTCATTCTCTTTTTCTGGGTTCGTTTGGGAGTTATCATCTCTTTGAACTGTTGCATTGCCCAGTCATGCAAATGTTAGCACCAGCAAAACAGCAATGGCAGAATGAAGCACTTGAGACAAGAGGTTAAATGAGTTGGGATTGTAGCAACACTGTTACTTCTGAGAGTCTTCTAAGAAGAGAAGCCTATGAGACTTCTTAAATTGAAGATCTGGAGGCTTGTTCCATGTGCTGATTTACTCAAGGAAGTAAAAAGATATACTCTTCTCCAATGTGCCCTAGTGAGTGTGGTGTTTCACTGCAGGTCTGTCCCTCATGGATTCAGCTGAGGTCCCATCTATGCTGTTCATTCTAGTGAGAATGAGGTAACACTGAAAGCAGACAACATACATGTACACCATTCAGAAAACAAGACTCTTGCCATCCACAAGCAAGATGCAAAATTCACCTGTCTGTGTTTTTTTGCAGTGCTTCAGTGCAGTGGTGGGACTGCCCTTTAGAATCAGAGGTTTCTGAGAAAGGTCAATCAGTCCCAGTCTTTCACCCTCACCAAAAAAATTGCTGACTGGAAACAGGAAGGAAAGCACTGAAACACTGTTCAGTACATTTTGGTTTGGGGGGTCTTATCTAAAGTAGCTTCCTACCTTCTCTTTTCTCAGGTACTTGCTTTTCCTTATACTCCTATATAGAGATAGGAGAAAGATAGATATCATATCTTGACCTTGAGGAATATCATCAAGGATCTAGTCATATTTCCTATTTAATAATTAGTTAAGCTTCTGCTTTTAGGTAATAGAGAACTAATAAAGTTATAGTGATACAGATGACACAGACTATACAAAGCACATGGTTCTCTTGAGGCCCTCATGAGAGATTTACAGCCTGATCCATTAGCACCATTAGCATTTGGAAAGCAAATGACCTGAGTCTTACACYGTAGGAAATGTTTAGAGTCTTCAGGATTTTGAATCTGCATATGAATAGCTTTACAGGTTAAAAAGGCCTTATATTTATGAATATTCTATTTTTGTTTTCATGTTTGGGAAAATTATTCACTGCAAAGGAAAAGTCTAGTAAATTGCTTCTCAGGCTAGTGAGACACTCATTACTTTTTGTCATGCTTTTCCAACCTTAGGTGGAGATATTCACATATTCTTTCTAAACTGCTATAGGATATGCTCCACTAAATTAACAGCATTTCATTGCCATGTAGACATAACTTTMTGTTCTGATGTAAAAACAGATGAAGCATATTTAAGGTACAAAAACTCATTGTCAAATATTTATCTTTAAAAATATAGAATAGGGTTTAAAACATGCCCAGCAATCCTTAAGTAAATAAGTAAAGTTTTTGTCTCTTGAGGGAATTCCAGAGACAAAGATTTCAATTTTGTTATCTATACAATAGATACAATACTTGGTTATCTAAACCAAGCATTAGTCTTGGTTTTCYGGAAATGAGCAGGGAAAATCAGAATCAGAAATATCAGACCAGGAATTCTTTCCTTTCCTACTAGAAGTGAGGAACAATGAAAATATTGACAAAGGCTGAAATAGATTTTATAGCCTTCTGGTTACAGATTCTAAAAACAAGTGTTAGCCACACACTATATTTTTCTGCCAATCTGACAAGGTTTACAGGTTACTTCTATCTCATCAAAGTGTAGCTGGCATCTATTTAGTAAGGTCAGGTGAACAGCTGACAAATCTGTACTGAAATCAGGAATAGTATGTGCTTTGGAAGATGCAAATGAGTCCAGCAAGTCTTGCACAAAACTTGTGTCACATAGCAGTTAACATTGCCTTTCAGAGTTGACAATGTGAAATTGGACAAGTACAAAGCGCAAACAGGGTTGGAACTGAAACTGGGTCACTGCTAACTTGTCCACATGTAGTAAATATTCTGTCACTTTTGTTGATTAGAGCACAAACACTCAAATGGTAAAGAAAAAAAAAAGCTAAGCTCTTTTTTTTTTTTTTTTTTTTTTTTTTTTTTTTTTGCTAAAATTCTAGGAAATGTGAAGACTGTGTAAGTGGCTGTCACTGCTATAGTGACCACAGGCAGAATACAGGTTGAGACTTGAATTTTTATTGGTTGACTGATATTTTGCCAGGCAGATTATTATGCACAGATGTCAACAACGTGCGTTTTGAAAGAAGTGTTCTACATGTGGTTCACAATTCCCACRCTTACCCATGATAAGAAAAAAAATTAAAAGATAAATTATTATAAATTTTTCTAAGTGAATGAATTTTTGTACATTATTTATTCACTGTGTATTAAGGGAGCACTGCAGGCTATTTTTTTCAGTATACTAATCACAATAACATTTTCAAAATTATTTTGTAAATTGAATTAATGTGCATAGAAGCTAAAGAAAATGAATCATGATGGAAAGCAAAAAGCTGACCCATATTTTGTTAATTTTTTTTTTTAGGGGATAGGATTTATCCACTGCTGTGTCAATAACAATTGCCAAATTCATCTTTCAGACATCCATGAGAGAAGTAGAGCAACTGAGTGTTTCTGTTGAGGATTAGAGCATGCTACACACCAGAGGTCTGAACACTTTCCAAGGCAGGAGGGCTCTGTGATATGAAAACAGAGTCCACTGAACTACCGCTCACAGTTATCTTTTACAAGGGTACACCTATAGAGCTAAGGGAGATATTATCTGATAAGCAGGTAAATACAGAACACATTCACATTATATTAAAATACATTTCTACAGAAATCATTTGCATTTGAGAGAGAAAATCTATTTTTTCATTTTAAAAGGATACAAGAGAAATAGAACATTTTGAGTATCAATGTGATTGATGGAATGAGGATAATAGTGAAAGTAGTAGGCATCGTTTAAGAGACATCAAGATACCTGAAGGAGAGTAACAAAAAAGTCATCTTTCTGAAGTGAAAAAGACAGGGTGCAGTGAACAAGTTATTTCAGAGGATAAAAGACTGGCTTGGAAATTGAAAACAAAGCTTAGTAACAAGTGGAACGCTTCAGAATGGAGAGGGATAACACTTGCAGGGTGAATATCATCGCTATTGGATGTAATCTTGTTCTCTTAATATATAGCTGTTCTAAAGGGAAAGCCATTAGATATCACCTTTGCTGGATGAAACAAGCCATGTGCAACGGGATAAAAACACATTTAATGTAGAGCAAAAGTGTGGCTAATACACACTGAGAGAGAACTGAGGAATGGTTTGCTGAATTTGGCGTGGAGAAACAGACCAGGGAAAACCTAGGAAAGAAACTAGGACAATCAAAAGACCTGAGGGGACAGATTGTGCTCATGGACTGACAGGACTCCACTGAGGAGCAGTACAAAACTGTCCAAATACGAAGGAGCTAGAGCAGATGAGGTAAAAAATAAATTAATAAAAAGATAAATATGTGGTTTTTATGGCTAATTGACTACTCTGTGTGATAAAAGTGCTCTCCCTTGTCCATGCACCATCATTTCTTCCCAAAGGCCATCAATGATGGCAGCAAGTGGCCAGATCTGGTCCACAAGTGCTGCTGTGGGATGCCACTGTGTGCTAAGGTATCACAAGATTTAAAGGTAGCCTACAGGACGATTAAAATTGAACTATAGAGGTTAATCTATAGACCAACAGTCTTTCTCTGAATTTCATAGTATGGTATAGGCAGTGCCATCTTGGCGCTAACTCTACGTAGTTTGACAATTATTAAATGCAGTAAAGGCAAGGATGCTGCAGTTGTGTGATTTCAATTGAGCTATAACCCTGCTCTAAAGAAAATCTTAGGGAATGCTAAATATAATAGTTCTAGGATGCTTTTAAAGAACGCTGAGTTTAAGTGTGGGCTTGTTAACATTCCATTAAAAAAGATAAAAAATGATAATGTGAATTTATTAAGAATTAACATTCGATTTTTGCAAGTACAGCCAAGCATTCTATGATTCTATGATTAATAATAAGAGAATGTGAAGGGTGTAAAAAAATATAGCCCCTAGCCTTTTCCTTGATGAAAGTCCTTTTAGGACTTTCTGGAAGTGAAYGTAATTTTCCTTAAGCTCTAAAATAAAAATAAACACCACAGAAGTTGAGTTTAGAAAGCTATCAATAATAGTAACCTATATTAGCACATTTTGGGAAAAGCCCAGACACTTTGTTTTTGTTTTTAATAATATTAATAATTGCTTTAATATGACTTAATCCTGGCTTCATTATATTTGGCTTGAGACATTTAGCTCAAATCTTTTTTTTTTAATCCTCTTTCATAGTAATTCCAGAGAAACAGGAAGGAATTTCCCACCCTAAAGGAGGCCATTTAACCTGTATGCCCAGATCAATCTCTCGTTGGACTCTCCATGATATTAAGACATCATGACAGGCCAACACACTAAATCACAAGTTCAGTTGTGTTTAGTCCTATATCTCACCTCCTCTGGATCTATGGATTGCAAAGTGAATGCAGAACTACAACTGCTGTACCCAAAGCATGGGAAGGTCCATTAGAACTAGGGCAAGGAAGAGGAGCTTCATTTGGCCACAGTCACCCTCTCACATCTGACTTCTATGATGTGCCCAGCAGATGTCCCCAGGCCACTGCTGGATGACAGCACATGGAGGCTGGGGCTGTTTTATCTCTGCAGGTTGATATCTCTCAGTAAATAACAAGTTTGAACTGGTCACTTAGAGCTGGAAGCAGTCAATACCTAATCTTCCTCAGCCTGTAAAAGAGGCATGCTGGGTCGCTTGCAGTTCTTTCAACTCTTTTTGAAGTGTCAAAGAGACATTATAAGAACTAGTGTTGAATGATTTTAAAGCACAAATAAATAGAAGAAGATGTGTCAGTGCTGCAGYTGCAACCATCCTTCTCCAGCTAGCTGTGTGTATGCTAAAATGTGCATTATTTCTGTTCAAGCTTCATGATGCTGTATGTTAGCAGAGTGCAGCATTTGCAAAAGTAACAAGATTTCTCATTATGATATTCCATGTTCATACCTCAAATCCCTGTGGTCTTCCTAGACTTTCTTTAATATGTTTCCATGCAACAAGAATCTCTGATACAGACAAACTCGTGGCTTTGACATCAACGGGAGCAGCGGTGGGTTCTGTATTAAAAAAAAATTGAGACAATAAGCCTCCACTGAAACAACCTGTATTTATCAAAAACGCTCCATCTGAAACTGTCATTTACTTCCTTTATTCTACTGTAATACTCACAAGAAGATGTGACACTTATGGGGAACATGAAAAACTGAGCAAGATGAAAAGATTATTATTATTGTATTTCTTTGTGTCATGCTACATCTGTATCTTATCACTGATGACAGGCCCAACAAACTATGACAGAATCCCTTGTCTGTGTCCCCCATGATCTGTTTTTGAAAATCCTTAATATTTATAAATGATTCCCCTGCCCCCTCCCATTTTCATAACTCTGAATCAGTTTAATATCAAAAGGAAAGGGAACATTCATTCTTTTTAGGGCTTTTTTATCACCTCAAACCACTCAAATGAACTGTACCTAGCTAGGGTGCTCAGTCACTTTTATACCAAATAAGATTATACCAAATAAGAAGCAATACCCAGAGTCGTAGTGAAATGTTAAGTAGAAAAACTTTGAGGACAATGTTGTTATGCTCTCGGTGAACAAACCTTGAAGCAATAGGAACAAGTATCTGGSACATGCAATCTTCTCTCTGCTGTTGGAACATTTATCTTTTTAGGTATGGGAAGCATACTGTTCGAGAGAAGGAATTTACATCTATATTAGGTATCATACTAACAGCTGTGCTGTTATCAGTAGTCCTAAATCTCTGTTTCCAACAGGATGCTCTTTATAGTGCTTTGTTTTTTTTTTTCCTGGTCTCCTGATTCTCCAGAGGCTGGCAGCTGCTACAGTTCCTCCCTGCCCTCACACCTGACTCCACATCCTTCCAGGGTCCAGAAAGTTTTCCAGATAAACACAGACATGGAACTGCCAGGACAGGCTGCAGGTCCACCACATATCCCAGATCTGTAAGGCAATTTAGTGCATTGGGAAGGAAGAACGTTCAAAAATGTWAGGAAATTATGCTGAGATATGAATTAAGGAAGTACCTTCTGCTTTATTGCCTGAATATTGCTATAAATTTGTTCAAGGAGCCTGTGACACAGATGAGACCACAAAGCAAGCAGCAGCCTCGCTTTGCCGCTGTCCTGCCTTAGTTTATTTGCTCAGCAAATCAGTAACTCCACATATCTCTGCTATGTGGAGCCCACTGAGCCTACAGTTTCTTCTTTGGCCTAATACTCCTCATTACATTTGTAATGTGTTGATCTGCTCATAATGTTCATGACAGGCAGAAAGAGGTCATGGATCTTATCATATAGGGAGGCACATCAAAGGGCTTTAAATTTTTTTTTTTTTTTTTTTTTTTTTTTTGTGGGGAGAAACTCATTTAACAGGATTACAGAACAGGAGAATCCTTATGTAACAATCATATTGCAAGGATTGCTCTGGCACTAGGGCCCTATACTTTTTTTCTGACATTGCTTGTAGATATTTTTCATTCTTTTTGATGTTGAGTTTTCAATGTTTGTTGCTCTTTTTGATCTTCTTTTTTATTTACTTCTAAAGAAAAGGAGCATTTCTGATGTGAAGCAAAATGGTAGTCGTTCATTCCCTGTATTACTAATAAGTATGGAATATATACATAGTACAGAATAYATCTTTTCAGGTAACAAATAAGAAAAAATATTCTCCAGAAGTACATGAAAAAATCTTCTGAATTCAATAATAAAAGAATGGTGCTACAAAGAAATACATTCCTCATAATATGATTTTCTGTTCCATAGGTATAATCTGCTTTCCATTTTATGTACTACTAAGATTTGTGCAGCAAAAGCTATTTTCTAGTTTTTGTAATATTGAAGCAATTACCTTGTTGTCAGAAAAGATTGCTGTAGGATAAATAATTTCTGATGTACACACAAAATGTTGGTTGGCGGCCTTTACACTTTCTATAAATGCAGAAATCATTTCCTCTTCATAGCATTCACTAGAGGTCATTTATATATTGCTCAGAACAGAAACAAAGAATATTTTCTGKTTTTTTTTAATAAATTGTTTTCAACAAATGGAATAGTTGTCTCTTTTTTAATGTGAAACAAATGCATTTCTTATATATTCTGCAATTATTCACTGCAATTTCACTGATAAGTATTCAGCAAAAGAATAGAAATGATATTTTTAGGAATAAGGTACATTAAGACTCTGAAAGTTTATGGGGATAAAATGGCATTTTTTATTGATTCTGATAGGATGAGGCTCATATAATTTCTGGTCCATAGCTCAGTACAATGTCATGCTTTATTCTGTGTGTCTAGAAGTGATGATAAATTTGACAGGTTCATTAGTTTTTTCTATAATGGTTGCTGGTATCATAATCATATTCCTTTATTAATATATTAGCATTATCTTAAATATATTGATATCTACCTGAGGTCATACTGATCAGAGAAAAAAGAAAAAAAATAAAAAAGATTCCTTTAATAGTCCCTGATCAGCTTAAAGATACAGCATACATTTTCAGAAGGATGTGTGAAACATTCACAAAGCAATCTTTTTCATATGCCAAAATCACACTTTAAGGAAACRTATTTAATCTGCAACAATCAGGACTGGCTACAACACAGCAAGAAAGGAATTACATTAATTGCACTAATCTGTCATTCAGAGAGGGAATCCTGAATTTTGATACTGCCAGATAAGAGAAAGTAGTGTTAGGTATTAGCTTTCATTGCATTCCCAATATTGCATTTACTGCCATAAACTTGTCTGCTTTTCTCAGATATTCATTATTAAAGATAGCCATGTCATCTAACATAAAAGCAAGTCATGGACCAATTCGTGGTCACTGAATGGTGTTTTAAATCTCCAGTGGAAAGCAGCTTCATCAGGATGAATGTCCTGATGTCCTGATGTCCTGTTGTCCAATAACTTAATATCCATTTGCTTTCAATTTTGGCTCAAAAGTGAATTTTTTACACGCTTCTCTAACTCCAAATCTGAGTTTGCATTAGAAGCAAAGAACTTCAGCCTTATTAGGTAATTACCTTAATATTCCAGGCAGTTCCAYATATTAATATGTTAAGACTTCAGCAAAGAGTAATAACTGAAATAATTCTTTTCTATGGAAAAACTCACAAATGGTGTATCACAGTAAGGAAATCATGAGGAAGATTCCCTCTTGTATAAGCACCTATTTTCATCCTAAACACAAAGAAGATGAAACAGTTTGCTCCCCTGCTTGAAATAGATGCAGAAATTATCTTAGGAACTGATTCAGAAACTTCAGCAAAMTATTTTCATCTCTAAGGAAATACAAGACACACCATGCTCAGCTCTGCCCCTCAAACACGGACAGGTTGACATGACCTCTACTTGGGGACCTCACTGTATYTGCACTATTATATCTGTCTAAAGTATAAGACAGCCTCCAGAATTTTGTCTAGACAGGCAAAAATATATCTTCAGAAAGGAAACTGGTACAAGGATTATAAAATCTGGTTTTCTAAAGAGGTTCAGGTCCTGGCAAGTGGACTGCCTGGAGGTGCCTATAAATGTGCCCTTWTCAGTCAGGTAGGGCTTCTGAAGGCCATTCCAGTGATAACTCTCTTTTGTGCTCTCTCCCCATATACTGCTTCCTGTGGCTCTCTCTTCTCTGTGGGATGACCTGATTATGACATAACATAGTGTTGTAAACTCACAGTATGGGAAAAGAGCTGCCTGATTCTCGTAAAGACTTTGATTATCTATAAACTTCCCTCACCTTGGGGAGTGTTCGGAAACTGGATATAAAATTCAGATTTAATTCAATTAAAGTGCCGAGCCACGTAGTTGTTTTCATGAATATAAACGATATCTTGGTAAAAAGTGGCATGGTAGCTGGAGTTATCCACATAACATGAGGAGGGGATKTCCCTATAATATTCACAGAATCACAGAATCATAGAGTGGTTGAGGTTGGAAAGGACCTCTAGAGATCATCTAGTCCAACCCCTCTGCTCTAGCAG